TCCGTAAGCCGCCCATGCCAGTCCTATTCTCCTGTTTAGCTTTGTTGTTTGATTATCTCTTCCTAATTTAATCTCGTGGCCCAGATATTTATACACCTGTTCAATTTGCGTGCCGTTAGTTGAGATGTTTTTCGCCAATACAAGGTTGGTGATATATTGTGTTTTAAAAAAATTAAGTGCAACTCGTGTAAGGAGCTCTGAAGGTCTTAAAGAAGCTATCAGGCATGATCCGGTCTGAAATAAGGACTATGTCGTCTGCAAATTTCAAATTTGATTCAGAAACTGTCCATTTATGTTGACTCCAATATTTTCGCCATAATTGTTTCTAACTGCAGCTGTTGCTTATTATATATATATATATATATATATATATATATATATATATATATATATATATATATAATATCAATGGATTGGTGTATTTTGTAACTTTCTCTATTAAGGATTTTATTACTTGTAGGTGGTCATTCGTTCCAAAGCCACTCCTAAATCCGGCCTGCTCTAATGGTTGGTGAAAATCCAGCTTAGATTCCAGTCCGTTAGTAATTATTCTCATAAAGAGCTTATATAAATAAAATAACATGCTGATAGGTCTGTAGTTTCCAATTTCTGTTACATCTCCTTTTTTATGCAATATTATCATAATAACAATATTCCATTTGTCTGGTGTAGTTCCTCTGATCCTTGATTTTATATGGCTGGAATTTTCACTTCTGGAATGTGAGCATCTCGATGATATAATGTTCTATAGCACTATTCGATAATTTTCATAATTTCTTTTTATTCATATACAGCATGTCTATTTTTTAGCGTGTAAATGTTTCTGCTTCCTGTCTTCAACTTTCGTTTTGGAACTTTAAGGATTTTACTGTGTTCTATGGTATGAGTTGTATCTTTAGTGTTAAAATCCTTAATGTCTTTCTTAATAGCTTTTGAAATGGTTTTATTTAAACTCCTTAACTCTGCGATGTTCACTGTGTGCTTATCTTTCATTTTCCTTCTTTTTTGCATTAGGTTCCTTGTGCCTTATGTAAGTTTTCTATTTTTTCTTGTTTGCTTACTTGACAGTTTTTCTATACTTTCCTTAGAGCGTCCACCAACCTTTCGTTAAGTTGTTCAATATCGGTTTCATCTTGCACGTCATTCTGAAAGTTTCTATCTATTTCCTCCTGGTATGCCCTTGTGTTAGTAATCACAGTGAACGTAACATTTTTAGTCCTTGTTACCATATTTCTTCGTTCCTTCTTTACGTTCAACACTACCTTCGCTCTAACCATTCTATGGTCACTTCCGGTTGAAAATTGATTTAATACAGTTACGTCTTGAACAGCGTCTTTTGTTAGTAAAGATAAAGTCAATTTTGTTCTTGTTCAAGCCATTTGGTGATTGCCAAGTCCACTTTTTTTGGGGGCTTTTTTTAAAATGGGTGTTCATGACATATAGTCTATGTTGCAGAAGAAATTCTATAAGAGTTTGACCCCTTTAGTTTCTGTCGCCATATACGTGAAGTCCAAGTACAAACTCTGAATTATCCTGCTTGTGGCCTATTTTTGCGGTTAGGTCTCCCATCAGTATGGTATAGTTGGTGGTTACATCTTCTAGCGCAGTGTTAACATCATCGTAGAACCATTCAACTTCTTCGTTTGTGTGGGCACTGGTAGGTGCGTATACCTGAATAATCTTTAATCGAATTTTTTCGTTTACTTTTTAGATAAGATAAATAACTCTATCACTTATGCTTTAAATTGTAAGTATATTCTTCGTGAGTTTTTTATTTATCATGAATCCGACGCCACCATTAGAAAATTTTCCTCTATAGTGAAATAGATTTCCTGACGAAAGTACCATTTGTTCTTCACCTTTTCTCTGTACTTCAGATAATCCAAGTAGATCCCATTTTATATGCTTCAGTTCGTTTACAAGGTCCTCAAGTTTTTCGTACTTCATCAATGTTCTGGTGTTATATGTTGCCAAAAACCATATTCTTTGCCGTTCTCGTATGTATAGGTAGTCTGGTCTACTCCGGAGATTCTTAGCACCCTCTGTCCCTCTACCTCCGTGACTGCTACCATATCCCAGTTTCAAGGGACTGTCGGAGACTGAGGGCCTTACATCTTCATCGTCTCTCATTTTACGGGTGTTCATGGCCGTTTCTCTACCACGCTGGATTGGGAAATTTTGGGGTCTGTGACAAGGATGATAAATTGGGACGTAATACCCTCTCGGTTAAAGGGAGTGAGAGTGAACCACGGCTGACGTAGGCAGGGCAGGGTCTTGAACCTGTAGTAGACCTAACTTTACCGGGATCGTAAAGTGCATTTACTCGTTACCCGTGTATTATCTTAAGGATATCGTGAGCTCATAATTTGCCACACAAACACAGAGTGTCGTTTATATCAGTCACTGACCGATATATGCGACACTCGACTAGAGAGAAAGATGAGCACGCAGGATACAGATTACTTGAAATTTCCGGTAGCTACGTCGCCACGCGTTTCAGTAGCAACTAAAATGTCGTGCAACAAGAACGCTGGGCCTTCGAGCAAAAGAATTAAAGTTAATAATAAGACTACAAACGATTATTATCGTATTGTGGATTAACCTAACAGGAAGTGGCTAATTAACTAAAAATAGTGAAAACACCTGAGTTTTCTGATGGTGAAGAGGAGCCATTTTCTCATAGTGGGAGTGAATATTTGCCAACTGGAGAAAGTGATCAAGAAAGCAGTGCTAAAGAAGAAATTGATGAAGATGTAAGCTTAGAGAATTGCGACAACTTAGATGCAAACGATTAAAATAATATTGAAAAATATTATAGTGATGTACAAATCTAGTGAGAAAAAAATCAATTCGTCCCCAAGTTACATAAATTTGATGATAGCTAGAGCGGAGTACAGGAGATGATGAACTTAACGGAAGAACCAAAGGCAATAGAATATTTTTTGAAAATTTTTACCGAGGATACAACCAAATATATAATTGATGAAACTGACAGGTATGCTATGCAAAAAAATGATAAAAATGGAACCATCTCTATTTAGATGAGCTCTTTACCTTTTTTGGATTGACTATGTTTATGTCCAGAAACAAAAAGCTTAAAGTAAAGGGGAATTGGTCAAAAGATCCTCTTTTGTACTCCTCATTTTTAGCAAAAAAATGCCAAGAGACGGATACTTACAAATTATGAATAATTTGCATTTCTCTAACAATGAACATGCAGAAGCCAGAGATGGCTTGTATAAAATAAACGAGGCCCTTTGAAAATCTTCTTATTGATGAGAGTATATTATTTAAGGGAACATTCCTTTTTAAGGAGAACGCCACCATTTTGGTATAAAACTTTATGTTATATGTGACTGCGAGACTGGTTTTGTTCTGAATTTTATTGTTTATATTGGGAAGAATACATATTCTACCGAAGAAACTATCAAAGTCTTGGGTGCCACTGGAAATGTTGTGACTCAGCTTATGAAACCATATCTATACAAATGCCACTAACAAATTTTATAGCATCTTGTTACATTATTTGTATGAACATAAAACAAATTCTTGTGGGACTGTTAGATCTAAAAGGCTTTACATGCCTTCTTTGCAAGAAAAATTGAAAAAAACTTGAAGTAGATTGGAGAAATTCTGACATTTGCTTGGTGTTTAAATGGAAAGAGAGAAGAGAAGTTATAATGATAACAACAATGCATGAAAATAAAAGATAGTTCTTGACAAAATTGATTCTGCTACTAAAGAACCAATTAAGGAAACCAGACTGTGTTATTAAGTACAATAAACAAATGGGGTCAGTCGACTGCTCTGACACGATGATAAGTAGCTTGATTGCATGAGGAAGACCACAAAATAGTACAAAAAATTATTTTTTTCACACAGTAGATATCTGTGTACTAAATGCCCATGGTATGTTCTTGACGAACCAGACTATGCCAATGCCGCTTGCCTAATTTCAACTGAGTCTTATACATCAGATTTTTAGAAGGTAAGTTTTTATTTTTCAGTCGTTATTTACATACATTAGAGCTTTTCTTAATTTCAGATATGAATTCTTCTTATGATGCCCGTTACGGAAGTTGGACACTACCATGCTATTCTGACTTTGTTGACTGCTGACCTGAAAAGTCCGGTAATGGTTTAGTTAAACCATTTTCGCAGGTTATGCAGCCAGGATATTCTTCTTCGTCCTGGACCTATTTACCCAAACACTTTACCTTGAAGTATGGTCCGAAGTAGGTCATATCCTTTATTCAGATATAAATATTAAGTGGAAAATTTCAGATCCATGTCAGCGGATATATTCAGATTAAACGAAAAGCATTTTCCTTAATTTGTTCCAGCAAGCGAAAGACAAAAACGCAAGGTATCAAGACACATGTGTAAAGAATGTAATGTAGGTTTATGTGTAGTTCCATGCTTCGAGACATACGATACTAAAGAAAATTAATAAAAATGCACTTTTCTACCAAAACATAAAAGAAATGTTTTTTTAACGTTTTTTAATGAAAGCTATATATTTATATAAAATATTCCTTAAATTAAAAAATATGTATGTTTTTACTCAATAAACAGTTACTAATTAAACATAACGTGTTAATTTTTTTATTCTGACCGATATAAATATGTGCCATCCGTCCACAAGACACGCTAAAAACTGCCGTCTGTGTGGCGTTGCAAGGGTAAATATCTGCCGTCCTGAAAGGGTTAAGGAAAATAGTGATCTTACATTGTTTATGTATTTTTTATAAGTAAAAAATGACATTTCGTATTTTGCATATTTTGTTTTTTACATATTATTATCACCAAAGTTATCCAAAGCAGTTTTTAAATGCCCGAACCAACAAGTGTCATAGGATAATCGTAAGTTCGCTGGTTTACAATATTGACGGTCTGACGGTCAATGTCGAAAAAAATGTTGAAAATTACAAAAGTAATTTTACAGCAATTTAAAAATTGTTTTAATTATAAATCCTGTAAAAGTATAACGTGGTACTTACATCTATAACAAAGGTAGATAATACAAACTTTTGAACAGGAACTTTTGTAATAAACATAATTTCTTGAAGTACTCGAGTTTTGCCAACTCTGAATACTCCTTCGAAAACTAACACATTTATAATAGTTGCGTCATCTCGTTTGTCTTCCCAATTTTTTCTAGCTTTATGTAGCAAACTAGTATATAAATAAATTTCTTGATCCCTTCCTAATAGTGGACCTAGATCTTCTAATGGTGCATCAACCTGAAATCTAAGTGAAACTTTTAAAATATAAATAATTATGTTTATATATATATATATATATATATATATATATATATATATATATATATATATATATTATTGTGATATTTAAAGTCTTAATAATAATAATTAAAATTATTTGAATGATATGACTATGATTCTATCACACTTTTTATTTCTCTTATCTCAGGGTTAAATTCGTGCTTCAATATCTATGCTATTACATGTGAAAGGTAAGGTCCAAAGAAGAATAATAAAAAACATATAGGATCTAACGTTATATATTGAAATGAAAATAATAAAATAAAATTCACACTCAAATGTTTTCAATAAACAAAATCTCATATAATGATTCTCAAAATTTTGTTCTACGTACGTGAACCTTCAAAATTAATGGTACAAACAATATTAGTTGAAATCTCAAAATCCAAATATTATTCTAAATCTCCTAATCAAAATATTTATATCCTTTCTAAATTAAGTGTGAAAAATTGTGTTATCAATAAAAGAAAAAACTGCAGAAAACAAAACTATCGTTCTCTGATGATGACTGGTCCAGATCCTTGTTCCTTGTAGACTATACTATTTACTCGTAGCCGCTCCCTAGGTAATCAGCAATCTTACAACAAATTATTGCAAGTTTATCGTCCTTAATGATCTCCTTCAAATGCACGAATCGTTCAAATTATGCTAGCTTCTTCTTCTCTCAATAAACTGAATCTCTCGTTGGCCTGAGTGAAAACTGACTCTTGAAATATCTTTTCTTTACGATAAACTGAATCTCTCGTTGGCCTGAACAGTGACTCTTGGAGTATAAGTAGAAAATATAACTTACAATCTTTTACTGGATCAGCTTCTGTCAGATACACTAAATACACGAAAACTCACAAACTTTCACTGCTACTGCTTCCTACCTCTGGGAAACTACCCGAGAACAACGGCCGTTCGCCTTCTACCCTTAGAAACCAACTCACTATCTTTCCTTTCTTCCGAAACTAACTAACGTCTCATTCTCAAACCAATCATCCCACCTTTTTCAATTTCATCAAATCAAAACGCGTCATCCATCTCCCATTTCTTCATTTCGATGACAAACAAATTTTTATCTATAATTATAAAATTTCCTAAAACTTATTTACAAATAATATTTTTCTACAATTCTTAAAAACTAACAAAAACCTATCTTTCTAAAATCTATTCTGTTGTCCTAATCACTGCACTAATGTATTTGGAAAACCCGGTTCAATTGTATTTTATTTCACTTAAGCTTATTCACGTCATACAAATATATTTTAACAAAGAAAATAATTTATGCATATCTTATGTTTTGTTAAATACAGGTAATCCAAAATTAAAAGACTTTCATCCTTCGAAATGTTTGTAGTTTATTGTTTGACTTATCTGAATTATTTTAATGTTCTGAACTTTGAAATATTTTTAAACAAACCGATATTTTCTTGATTTTACATATCATAACAATATATATGTATATATATATATATATATATTATATATATATATTTATTATATCTATATATATATATATATATATATATATATATATATATATATATATATAGATATAATATATATATATATATATATATAGATAGATATAATATATATATATATATATATATATATATATATATATTGTAAAATATAATAATTCATCCGTAAAATAGTTTCGAAACCAATTCAGATTTCTGCTTTAATCTGAACCTTCTAAACATTGCAAGGTATAACAGACGTTGATAAAGATGTTAATAGAGACATGGGGAATATAAAATTTGCATTCCACGACATGTCTCCTCAACTAAGCAGAAATCCTTAGCGAATTGGTTTTTTGTACTCATACAGAGTAGATAGGAATAAGATGAAAAAGAAAGATTTGATTTCACGTACAAAGCGACTATGTATCTGTTTTCGTACGTATCTGTACGTATTTCGACCTAATAGGTCTCATCAAAACAGCTATTCATAGGCGTTCTCAACGTGAAAAAAAAAAAAAAAAAAAAAAAAAAAATAAAAAGAGGTTAATCTTTGTAAATGGGTATATTTATTTAAAAAACCCTTAAAAGGGCCACATCAATAGAACAAACGTTTTCGGACTACACAGTCCATCATCAGGTTATTAAAATCGAAAATGCTAGGTCATAATGCCTGAGCCACCAAAATATTAGGGTAAAAACCCTTTAAATTACATTTAGTTATGAAATGTTGTACATTGTGTTATAAAATAACTGTGATGTTCTATATTAAATTAAATTTGACGTTTGTTCTATTGATGTGGCCCTTTTAAGGGTTTTTTAAATAAATATACCCATTTACAAAGATTAACCTCTTTTTGTTATACGTGGTATACAGCCAGCTACAGGAATTTTTCCTTGTAAATCTTTTCTGTCTGTAAGAAGTAACACTAAAATTGCTTCGATATGGACGCAATAGCGACATCTGATAATAAATCCGTAAAATAGTTTCGAAACCAATTCAGATTTCTGCTTTAATCTGAACCTTCTTAAAATTGCAAGGTATAACAGACGTTGATAAAGATGTTAATAGAAACATGGGGAATATAAAATTTGCATTCCACGACATGTCTCCTCAACTAAGCAGAAATCCTTAGCGAATTGGTTTTTTGTACTCATACAGAGTAGATACGAATAAAATGAAAAAGACAGTCAAGATTTGATTTCACGTACTAAGCGACTATGTATCTGTTTTCGTACGTATCTGTACGTATTTCGACTTAATAGGTCTTATCAGAACAGCTATTCATACGCGTTCTCAACGTGAAAATAAATATTTTCTGTCTTTAAGAAGCAACACTAAAATGGCTTCGATATGGACGCAGTAGCGACATCTGATAATAAATCCGTAAAATAGTTTCGAAACCAATTCAGATTTCTGCTTTAGTCTGAACCTTGTAAAAATTGCAAGCTATTACAGACGTTGATAGATGACATGGGAGAGGTTATAATATATGGAGGTTATAATATATAGATGACATGGGAGAGGTTATAAGGGAGAGGAAGATGTTAATAGAGACATCGGAAATCTAAAATTTGCATTCCCCGACATGTCTCCTCAACTAAGCAGAAATCCTTATTCGAAATACGTATAAACATATACATAGACGCTTTGTGCGTGAAATCAAATCTTGACTGTCTTTTTTTATTTTATTTGGATCTACTCTGTATGAGTACAAGAAACCAACTCGCTAAGGATTTCTGCTTAGTTAAGGAGACATGTCGTGGAATGCAAAGTTTAGATTCTCCATGTCTTTATTAACATCTTTATCAATGTCTGTTATACCTTGCAATTTTTAGAAGGTTCAGATTAAAGCAGAAATCTGAATTGGTTTCGAAACTATTTTACGGATTTATTATCAGATGTCGCTGCTGCGTCCGCATCGAAGCCATTTTAGTGTTGCTTCTTAAAGACATAAAAGATTTATTTTTCACGTTGAGAACGCCTATGAATAGATGTTCTGATGAGACCTATTAGGCCAAAATAAGTATAAACAGATACATAGACGCTTTGTACCTGAAATCAAATCTTGACTGTCTTTTTCATTATAATAATTCAAATTTTTCAACAAAGAAACTATAAAAGATATTTCGAAGAAACGAAAGTCTATTATCCTGGATTACCTGTAGTAAACAAAATTTAAAGATATGCATAAATTATTTTCTTTGTAAAATATATTCGAAAGACGTGAGTGTACTTGGTGAAATCGTGAACAATGCGAGCAATTTTCCAAAATCTGATCCAGTAAAATATTGTAAGTTATATTTTTCTACTTATATTCCAAGAGTCACTGTTCAGGCCAGAACGAGAGATTCAGTTTATCGAGAGGAGAAGAGGCTAGCATCATTTGAACGATACGTGCATTTGAAGGAGATCATTAAAAACGATAGGCTCGCAACAATTTGTTGTAAGATTGCTGATTACCTAGGGGACTGCTAAGAATAGATAGTGTAGGCTACAAGGAACAAGGATTTGGACAACTCATCATCAGAGAGATAGTTTTACTATTCTTCAGTTTTTCTTTATTAACAACACATTTTTTTAACAATCGCTTTAGAAAAGATAGGAATATTTTGATCAGGAGATTTAGAACAACAATTTTTGATTTGCAATTTTTTTTCAAATCATTCATTAATATACCATTAATTTTTGAAGGTTCACGTACGTAGAAAAAAATTTTGATAATCATTATATGAGATATATTTTATTGAAGATATTTGAGTGTGAATTTTATTTCCATATATTTTTATTTCAATATAATGTTGTATCATATATGTTTTATATTATTCCGGTATTCTTTGGACCTTACATATCATATATAAAGCATATTATATTGAAGCACGAGTATAATCCTGAGATAAGAGAATTAAATAGTGTAATAGAATCATAACTGCATCATTTAATTAAATTTAATTAATTAATTAATTAGTTTATCTCCCTTAATTAATTAATCTCACTGTAAATGAGGATATCGCTCAAGGAGAAAAAAAAAAAAAAAAATAAAAAAACTATTTCAATCTTTTAATAGAAAACGTTTCGTGTAGTATTTCTGCACTACTTCAGATCTAATGATTGTAAAGTCATATATACACAGATGTCAAACAATGTCAAATGTATGTATTACAAAATACATATAATAAATACAATAAAAGTTACGAACGATTCATGTTTGTGATATGAGAGGTTAACAACGAGCCTTTAAATTATTGGATCTTCATAAAAAACATTATATTATATCATAACCGATAAAATAAAGCAAGACTAGTAATTTTCAAAATCAAATATTTAAGTATCAGTTAAATTCAAAAACATAAATTATTGTTAATTATAAAATAAATTACGTACATTTGAATTCCTTGAAATTCATAAATAGCTCCTGGATTAACAATGCCTTTAAGGAATTTATATTCTTGTAAAATAAAATTTTTTGATTCGAGTTTACTGTGTAGAAATGTTTCCCTGTCACAAGTAACTTTACCAGGATAAGCAACCATTAGTCTTGCTGCTTTGTTTACTACTAATCCGATTACAGTGTATTCACGCCTTAAAGCATGACCAAAGGCTCCACAGTAGCACTTTCCTAAAAATAAAAAATAAAGTTTAATAAAAAAAATTTAAGTAAATACATTAGCAAAAGTTATAGGAAGTAGATTAAAAACCTACTAAACAGAGCTAAAAAGAGAATACCAGGTTGGTTTCAGACAGTGAAGAATAACAACCGATCAATTTTTTTAAAGTTATTACAAAACAACAGTTATGAACAAAACCTTGATTTGCATATTGCCACAGCCACCTAAAGTTACAAGCCATGAAGTAGAAATTTAGCAACATCTAAAGGTAGTCCTGTTTGAATGTGGACAGCTGATTACAGTGAATTAATAATTATTTGTATATTATATTTTTTAATTAGTATTAAGTGCTTTTGTGTGTCTATAGTCAGTTATTCACGTCGGGTGGTATTTCCACTGAAACTGATAAAATACGATTCGGGTCCGGGCGTCCCGTATCAAGATTTTATTCATATACGATTCGGGTCTCCGGCGTCCCTAATATTGCCGTTTTTTAAACGTTGCTTTTTTCATATAAACAAATATTCTTAAAATTCTAATATATGAAATAAATGTCGAACATTATGTTTTAAATACAAGGTTTTATCAGGAACTGAATATAATAAAAATAAGATTAATTTTTCAAAGAAAAAATCTATTTTATTTATAAAAGAAATACCTGGACAAAATTAACAAATCTGCAATAAAAATTAATTTACATGGTTTTCGTTGAAAGAAGGTAAACAGTATCCTGGCTGACCTGTACAATCAGATATACTTTTGGTACAAAAATTCACTTCCGGTTTTGAGATGACCGGAAGTTATAATTTACTTTAAGTTTTAGACCCCACAATGTATATATGGATCAAAAGGTCTCGTCGAGACGAATCTAAATATGTACTTCCGGTTGCGATTCGACACCGGAAGTGACCCGAAATGCGCATAAAACATCAAGATAGAGCAAATCTGACAATTTATATAGGATTTATCTTCCAAATCCTGTTTTTTCATATGGATAGCTATTTGTGGCAATGTCTCGATCCCGCTCATTTGATGTCGTAAAAGTTTACATAACTCCTGGTGCCAAGCAAAAGTTTTCAGAAAATGGAGACATTGTAACAAAAAACACTTTTTACTTGCATTATTATTGATGAATGTTACGTATATTCTTGCTTATATTGTTTGTATTTTTTATGTGCATTTTATGCATTTTATGATCTCTTAATTTTTCTTGCAAAATAAAACTTTTATTTAAAAAACTCGATGTCGAGTTGGTCCGCTAGTTACTTTTCTTTCTTATCCACTTCTTGACTTGAAAGTGATTTCCGTAATATTGTGTAACATCTTACACACTTTTTTCCTAACTGAAAAACGACTCATGCATTTACAACACACGTTCCAAAAAGCAACTCGAAACAAAGCTTTCGATAACATTTTAGTGATTTCCTCAAAACCATAAAATAGGCGGACATTTGGTCACTTATATCCACACCTTTTTTAGCTTTATTGTAATCAATAATACATTTTGGTTTTTATATTTCATTGCCTTTTCTATCTTTTTTACTAGTTTCTACGAGGATCACTTTATGTGTGATATCAGATGTGATCATCAAAACTGATCTCTTATCTATCCACTTTATTATTTTTAAATTCCCACTTTCTTCTCCATACACCTCAGATTTCTTTATCTTTCATTCAAAAGATTTTGGAATATCTTTTCTATTAGATTACAGTGTTCCGTAATATTTGGTATTTCTTAGATACAATTCCTTTACTAAAGAAATGCTGGAATAGAAATTATCAGCTTATAAGGTTCTGCCCTGCTTCTGGTCTAAACTTAAAATTAATGTTAGTTCAATGCCTTCTGAATGACTGTTACTGCTAATATTAACCGTATCGTAGTTTTTACCTGCATAAACTATCATATTGTGCGTATACCCATCTACTGTACATAATTTGTATAGTTTGATGCCATATTTATGTGTTTTCTTCGGAATGTACTCTTTGAATAACATTCTGCCTCCAAGAAATCATGCTTTCATCTATTATAATCTTAATAGCTCTCTAGTAGTATATCAAGTAATGGTTTTACTTTGCAGAGCCTATTTTCACTAGCAACGGTGTTATTGTAAAAATGTAGATATTTGAGCAATGTTAAAAATCTATCACGGAGCATGATGGAACTTAAAAAATGCATTATGAAACATTTTGTCTTTACTCCAATAAGCACCAAGTGTCAGTAAAGGGACTAAGCCCATTGTTAAAATTAAAAAACATTGCAAAAATGATAAAATATCATTTTTATCGGTATTACTCCATTCAACTCTCTTGCTCAACATACTTTTCTTCCAAATATCTAATTTTTGGATTGCATATATATCTATATATATATATATATATATATATATATATATATATATATATATATATATATATATATATATATATATATATATATATATATATATATATATATATATATATATATATATATATATTAGTTTCTCTAATAATCAGTTCCAAAATATCGTCGGTTAAAAAAAGCTTGTAAGCGTTTAGCAGTTCTTTGATATTTTCCATATTAACATTTAACTTTTGTGTACAATTTGTTAAAAACAGGTGGAGTTAAGGAAAAATAGGCCCCCCATAGGTCACATTGTTGACTTCGAATGGTAATCACATTTTGGTCAGAGTATTTATTTTCTTGATCCCCTGCATCTGAAGCAGAAAATAAATCTGATTTTGCTTCAGAAATTGGAGACTATGAGCCCTATACTGTAGTGGAGTGCCTGATCTATCCTTCTCCTGATCAGCATATTTAATTTGTAATGTTAATATATTTTAATGAGTTTAATGTGATGCCAATATATATTTTTTAAATTAATTTGTCTGTAATTAATAATGTGACATTATTTGCTCAATTATGTTTAAAAATTTATCAATCAAATAAAAATTTAATCTACTACTGTACTCTATGTCAATGCTTCGACATGTCCTGAGGGACTATAATCCTAAAACTCAATTCTGGCCGCTTTGGCATGATTCTTAATAATATTCAATGTATTAGAATAAAACTGACAAGATATTTTTTTATATTTTTATATACCACAACTGCTAGGGTACGTTCGTCAAAGTTCAGCTCAGCGTGGCGTCCTGATTCTTTCTACTAACGATTTTTCTTCAGTGTCAGCTGGAGCAGCTCTAATATTTCAACTCTTCATTCAACTCTTAACTTGCTATAACGTGGATAAGATACTAACTAAGGAGCCACTCAGCTACTGCTTTTAAATGACAGCCAAATCAATACCGTTAATTCTGTAATATTTACTGTGAATTCCCAATGGTAGAAATTGTAAATGGTCCTTGCATACTGATTCCTGAAGTAAGAAACTAGACTCAGCTTGCTTTGCAATTAGATCTGTGTCAATATTCCGCAAAAATGGCATATTTCTCATTGTTCGAGTCTCGTCTTTGATATACTCTTTCTTTTTGGGGTTCCAGCACAGCAGCCTAATGTAAAATAATTTTTAAATTGCAAAAAACAGCAATTCGTTATCTATTTGGTCTCAAAAAACATAACTCATTGCTACTTAAAAAAAACACGGAATTGTATTGCTTCCCTCTTTATATAGGTATTTTAGAAACTGTTAGTTTGATTCGTAAGCATCTAAAAAATTTTCCTGAAAGACCTGATCATGATTACTCGATTAGAAGTTCTGTTTATGATGTTTATTTACCGAACTTGTCCTCTGAGTAAGTAAATAATTAAATTCTATAGCATTTTTCACATAAAAAAGCTTGCACGTCATTTAAGATTTACGTAGTCAGAACCCCACAGCGTTGCCAAAACATCAGAATAGTTATTAAGTGAAGAATTTTTAAAATGTCAACTATTTGTCAAACTATTATATAAACAGTAAATACACTTAGTTCTAAGAATACTGCAACACCCTAACATACATAAGAAAACATTTTAATATAAAATTATATACTCTAAATTAAACTTACCTCTTTTAGGGCTTTAATAGTAAAAACGCCCCGCCATTATTCCTTGTTAAAAAATAATCTATCTTATATGAAAGCTTATCAGCTTTCTACATACTATTTATTTCTTTTGGCATATCACAATCACAATACACAGCAATAATTAGTTTTTAAAGCTATTAATCCAATTTTAATATGTATTTATAAATACAATTTATTATATATATATATATATATATATATATATATATATATATATATATATATATATATATATATATATATATATATATTATGATCAAATTGTGTAAGAAATCAAAACATAAACAAAATTCCTACTCTAAAATAGCGGCAACACTTTATACACTTTTGCCACACGCTAAACTGTCAATAAAATTTAAATTATTTCCGTATCAGTTGCGTACATTTGTATAATATATTTAATTAAAATTATTATTTTGTGGAATATTACACTTAAATGATTATTTCATAAAATTTATATTATTAATAATAATAAATGTTTTTAGTTATTTAATCAACATTATTTTAAAATTTCCAATATACTGATGATTAAATTTTTCTGATTATTAAACCATGTTGACGCCTATGAAAGATTGGGCAGTTCGTATGGGTTTCGTAGTATTAGCTGTATTAGGAAAATTTGAAATCTAAGGTTGATGTTCTGGAAATTTTAAATACAAGGGACGTCACTTTGTATAAATCGTGACGTGCAAGTGTTTTACTTTAAAAAAGGTATATATGGTGCAAGAAAACCTATATAATCACCTACTGGGACAAATTAAATCCGTAACATCTGTTCTGTAAAATGACAAAAACATATCTCTCTGAAAGACAATATTATTCAGTCCATGAGTTTCTTTTTTTTATTTAGAATTTCCGCATCAACCAATAAAGGTTATTAGCGGGTTTTACAGATTTTACAGTTGTTATTACAAATACAAATTTACTAATTTCAAATTGCGTATTAAATTACACATAATAAATTACAAATTACAAAAAGATACATATAATATAACTTAAATTTTGTGTAGTAAACGTATGTCCTTAAGGAATTTGATTCTATTTGATATATTACTGTTTAAAATATCTTTAAGTTTCTTTGCTTCTTCTGGTACGTTGTTGATGGCTCTTTCGTAGGAATAAAGAGGACATTCAATCAATACATGTTGAACAGGTATTGGACATTAAGGTTTTCTGGAAATTGTAGTTTAGTGCCAAACCTAGTTTTCACGTTTTCAAGGTTAGCCTTATTAGAATTCCACATTTGTTGCCAATTTTTTATACAGTGCTGTTTAATATTGAGCTGGATATCACTGAATGGAATTGTAGTCATAATTTCAGTTTGCTCGTCAGTAGCAGCTTTCTTTGCTAATTCATCTACTTTTTCATTTCCTGCGATACCTGTATGTGATGGTACCCAGAGAAATGTAACGTTCACGTGTCTGTTTTGTAGGTGATAAAGTGCTAATTGTATTTGTTGCAGATAGCATGTACTGGATATATTTGCCTTAAGCTCTGAAGAACAGATAAAGAGTCAGTAATGATAAGAAAATCTGAGCTTGCATGACTCTTGATGAGTTTCTTAAGGAATAATAAAGAAACAAAATTATTAGTATTCTGTACATTTACATTTGAGTGTCTCACGCAGTAGCTACAATTTGTTTTGTATTTTGTGGTCGCCTGTACAAATTTTGTAAGTTGTAGAATAATTTTAATAATTTAAGATTGATTTGTTTTGTTATATTATTTGACTTTTTTGTTAGTTTTGTCCATAAAATTGTACAATTTTCAGTGACAGTGATAATGCACCCTCTCCGTTTGTTACTGTAATATCAATAAAATTAATGACACATAAAAAGTTGTGCACTGAGCTAGAAAAGTATCTAATTAAAAGTTTTTTTTTTATACTTTACAAGAATATTGTAATTCATAATGATTGATTTACGACTCTCCTGTATTAGTTTTCTTATGGCTTGTATACTGAGTGCACATCCGTATTTTCTATTAATCTGTTTGATACTAGGTACCTACAATTAATTAGAACTCTAAATTTTAAAATTTATAAATGTTTACTATTCCTATACATTTCTAACCTTTGTATGGAAAATAAATATTAATATTAACAGGTTTACTTATTTATTTCATATTTTCCTTTTAATAAATTTAATTAAAATTTCTTTTATTTGTGCAATGTTAAAAAGAGATCCATGAATTATTATTTAAAATATTTCGGGGTACGAAACAGACTACTTTCTCCTTTTCTCCTTCATATGACTACTTTAATATGTTGCGACGTTGCCTTTTTTACTTCACGGCTTGTAACTTTAGGTGGCTGTGATATTGCTATTTGTTGATTTTAAACAGGCCTATGACTCCATCTCACGAAACGGACTATACGAAGCAATGAGATCACTAGGAATATCAGAGGAACTTATACGATTAAGTTAAAATGACGCTAACTAATATAGTCAATAAAGTCATGATAGAAGGAAGTCTTTTAAATCCATAAAAAAGGAGAGTTTTCACATATACTGTCTCTACAATTCGCTTATACATATATCGTCCTTTTAGGACTCATAAAAGCGACTCAGTAGAGAAACACAAACGTGAAATCAATTTTTTTCCGTCAAAGAAAGTAATAATGAAATAACTTCCTAAAGACGTAAATGGCGACATCTAAGACTAAAGCAAAAAGTAAAACTCCAAAGATTTCTAAAGATTCCTACTTGTTCAAAACAAAAATTCAAATTTTAGTTAATTCTGTACCTTCTACGATTTACAAAGCAAGCAGACGATAAATGAACCGACATGGAGATTCTTAAATTGCATTCCACATCATAAATCGATTCATCTAAGCAAGAATCTTTTATAACCTGGCTTGTAATACTCGAAATGCGAGTTAATAAAGATGCAGAAAAGACAGTTAAGATATTATTTCACGTATAGTGCTTCTACAAATCGCTTATAGGTATTTCGTCATTTTAGGACTCATCAAAGAGACTCAGTATGAATCCCTAAACCTGAAATCAAATCTTTTTCATCAAAGAAAGTAAGAATGAAATTATTTCCTAAAGACTCAATTTCTATTTGAAGGATTTAAGAAATAATTTGAATTTTGGTTTTCATCAAGTAGAAAGTTGAAAGTTCAAAAGCTTTTTGAAGCTTTTTATAAGTAACCTCACTTTCTATTATAGCAGTCGGTGTATAGTATTCTACTCTTTCATCTTTAAATAATAATTCAGAAATGTAGTTTTTCCGTTCTTTTCCAACTGTTTATTGATATCTAATATTCTATGTCTCTTTTGTCTTTTCAACTTTGAGACAGTTTTTTCTGTTTGATTCAGGCGATCTCTTTTAATTTATTGTGAAGATGAAATGTATCGTGTTTCTTTTTATAATGCTTAATTATATTACATTCTTTACTATGAAATTGTGTTTTGAATGGATGCGTTGATCCTCTTGTATTCGCTTTTTTTATTTCTCTTCTTTAGTCCATGAGTCTCAGTGTTTCTTCTGACATCCGCCTTTATTTTCTTCTTGTTTTTACTGCACTTAATGTTGTTTCTTGAACAGTATTTGACACTAACCAAAGATGAATGTACTGAGGAAAACTGGACGAGAATTAAGGTACCTTAGTACTTTCATCTTTGCTTGATGTTAACATAGTTTTTTATTCTAATACACTGGTATCTTGTTTTACAGTATCTAGTATTTCTTGTTTTACAGTATCATTTGACATCTTTTCTCCTCTTTCATCTCAATCATAGATATTTTGGAGAGATTCTTGACCCATTAAAGTCAAAGTCAAAGAGTGTTGAGTTAAAAAGACAAAATAACCTATTTCATGAAAGAAAACGGAATAGACGAGTATGGAAATTCGGAAAATATTGTATGTATTTTGGACTTTGCATTTTTTTAGACCTTTTTAGTTTATCTGCCCATGTTTGAGTCAAACCACATAATTATTTTCATAGGTAACCTACCGGTAGTAACTCCTGCAGCTACTCCCATAATATCATCAAGGGTTATTAACTTATTATGACATTCTATGGCACATTTTAAAGCCAATTGACTTTCCAGTTCATGCTTAAATCCTCGTAGTCCAAAAATAACCAAAAGCATAAGATCCTTATCAAAGTTACTTATTTTATTTACGCAACCATTCCCACTTTTGACAGAACTGTAATAAGAAATTTATTTAATTAGGCACACATTAAAAACTAACTCATACAATACAAACTTTATATTACTATATACAAAATACAAAGCAATACATTAATTTATTATATTTTTACCTTAGAACCTTAGAACGGGGTTACTTAGCTCCACATTTTAACTTTATTTTTATTTATTTGTAATACGTATTTTCTAAATGGTCGAAAAGAGGTTTCAATTTAAGTAATCAATGCAAAAAGTGGCTGAGTCACTTTTTTTACGGAAGTTTGAGTGGATACCGCTGTCTAGTGGCGTTTTTTATAAGGTTTCAGACGTTGGTTTCAAAGTTGCAGAAATGTGTAAAAAGTCCATTTTTTTACATTTACTCTGATAGAAGTCTTTCAATGCAAAAAATTCCTAAGTCACTAACTTGACAAAATATGCAGTTTAAATTGTGTCTTAAGCCGCGGTCAGACTAGGCTGTTTAGCAGCCGCTACTAACCAGCCGCTGGTAATATTGCCAGCAAGCAGCCTAGTCTGACCCAGAACCAGCGGCTGGTGAATGCCAGAAGACTAGCCACAATCGGAAGTTGAACATGTTTAACTTTTTAGCGCTGCCTACCATCCGCAGGCAGTCACGTGATCTCCTCGCTGGCGCCAGCTAGCCAATGTGAACCCCTAGTAGCGGGTAGTAGCTCACAAGCGGCTGGTGAATTAACACGTGTCTAGTTAAAAGCAGTGTTGGTTTTCTATATTTTTCTATTCTACTGTATTTTCTATTAATTTTTTCCAGTGAATATGGTCGACAGTAACAAGTGGTCGGGTAAAGATATAATTACTTTCCTAGATATATTCCAAAATTATCCTTGTCTATGGGACGCTTCGTGTGCAGACTATATCAACAGAAATGCCAAAAACTCAGCATATTAGGTTGCAAGGAGTTATTGCAGAAACTTGAAGAACGAGGACTGAAAGCAGATTTGGCCCCACTGAAGAAAAAAATAAAAAGTTTGAGAGATACTTATCGAATTGAAGTGTACAAAATAAAAAAGTCAAAGAAGAGTGGTGCGGGAGCAGATGACGTCTACAAACCTAGACTGGTGTGGTTCTCGGCAGCCCAAATGTTCTGGAGCAGTAGTATTGTTGGTCGTGACTCATCATCGAATCTGGTAAGTTTAAAATTATAGCAACAGATAGATTAGATTAGATTTGTGTTAAAAATATAAAACTTAAAGATTATTCTTTAAAACTAATTTTTTACTACTTGTATAAATTTGTTAACTATTACTAAAGGTTTGTTTAATATTTGACGAAATGTACACAAAACATGTCAAGTATAAGCCTATACAGGAGCAAAATATTAGGGTTTTGAAAATTCATTTGAAAATTTTAAAAGTTGCCCCTCATTTTGGCTAAAACCAATAAAAACCATTACGTATGCGTCAAAGTGCCAGTTAACTGGTTAAAGTTTATTTTAGTACAAATTTATTCTTTTTAAAGTAGTCTAAAAACTAATCTAGTACGGTCATCGTGGAATTTTTAAGGTAGAGACAATTACTTTTGGAAAACATTGTTTTTCTGCAAATTAAAGTTTATTTGGCAAAATGATGTACATACAAATACTGTCAATTTTCCTAAGAAACAAACATTTCTTCGTGTATGTATCAGATAGTTCTTGGGCAAATTAGTCGCTTTCAGTACATTCATGTCCGATAGATTTCATTTGCCAAGGAACAGACAAGGTTGTTGTAAACTCCTGGGTAAACCACTCTCGCACGTCATTTCCTTCTTGTTTGTAGTTGTTGGATGCATACAGTCTTTGTAATGGAGACATAGTGTTAGGGTCTTGGCGCCATTCACCTGGGTTTATAACTCCTGTCATCAAGTCCTCTTCATCAACTGATCCCGGGGTCATATACGTCTGTGATGATGTCATTCTTAACCAGTTGTGCAGTACACAACTTACTTTTACAAGAATTTCCACTGTACCCACGTGCAACGGAATAGGTCTGCTGAATATGCGGAAACGGCTGGCCAAGATACCAAAGGCGTTTTCAGCAACACGCCTAGCTCGAGATAGTCTGTAATTGAAAATTTTCTCTTCCACAGAGAGACCTCTATGTGAATATGGTTTCAACATGTAAGACGTGAGACAAAATGCATCATCGGCAACGCAAAGTCCTCCTATAGGCCAGTTTAAAAGGTTTCTCTCAAGAGCAATTTTCAAAGTGGAATTGTTGTAAATGGTACTATCATTAGATCGGCCATCACATCCAACGTCAATATATCTGAAGCAGTATTCTGCATCCACCATGGCAAATAAAACAATACTATATGTCCCCTTGTAGTTATAAAATAGAGAAGTGCTGTTTGGAGGTCGTTGAATTCTGATATGTTTTCCGTCCAGTGCCCCACAGCAATCAGGAAAGTTCCACTTACATTCAAACGACTTTTGAATTTGTTTCCATTCAGCTATTCTATCCGGTACCTGAAATAGAACGTACAAAAGTAACAATTGTAATTTTCTTAAATGTACAGGGGGTTCCGTAAAAGTACCAAAACCATCCTAGTTTGGTTCTCTGGGTCAAAATAAGCAAAAACGTTGATATGGACAAAAGTTCTATCTCGCTTCTCGCGTCTGTCGGCCTGTAAAGATTTTGAACAATCGTTACAGACTTTCGTATTTTTTTGTACAAAATCTGGAGAGACCGAAAGACGGGAAAACACGCGAGATCAAAGTTTTGTCAATATGAATTTTTTTGCTTATTTTGACCCAACGAAACACATTACGAATTTTGTGTACGAGGTTCTTACTTACGGAACACTCTGCTAAAAATTTATATTAATTTACCGTCTGGAAGTGTATATTTAATTGTTATAAGTTATATTGTTATTTTATTATCCTACTTTTTTTCAATTTTTTTATTTTGTAGGACCACATTACGGAGATGGCAATGCAAAATGAGGACTACGACTATCCATGTGAGGACACCGAAGCAATCACCTCTGTCAAGATTAAAACTCCAAGCCCTTCAAAAACAAATAAGTGTTCAACGCCTTCTGCATCAGGTAATAAAGCAGCAAAAAGATCTCCTGAAAAAATGCTACCCCCATCTCGTCACTTGAAGCATATTAAAACAACTTCTGGTAGTAAGAAACCTCAAAAACGTTTTGAAAAGTCAGTGGATAAGTTGCATGATATAGGTAAATTAGTTGCTGAAAACGAAGATCAATTCGACAAATATGGCAAGTATATTGCTAGCCAATTAAGGGAGATACCATTAAGAAGTTTCATCGCCCTACAAAGCAAGATTAACACCCTTATCACAACAGAACGCTTGCTCTGTTTGGATAATGAGCAAGGACAGTGTTCGATGCAGCAGCGCTCGCAGTCACCATACAGCAGCGGTAGCTCTTGTTCGACCCCACATCCCCTGATGTCACCGTACAGCGGTAGCTCCTTTTCTCAGATGTCACCATTCAGTCACAACAGCTCTGGCCAAACACCAGGTATATCCAACCAAGACGACATTGGAGGTTTGGACATTTTATCCCAAGCCATGGTTGGAATGTGTGATGCTGGGACCCACCTTGCCTAAAATATTTCCAGTTTGTTTTACATAACAAAATTAATTGTTATACACAAAGTGAAGAAGATTAATAAACTACATTATTGTTAAAAGTAAAATGTGCTTATAAATTCTTGTCCTAGGCCTCCTAACTCTCCTGTAAGAAAATATCCCTTGCTCGTTTTTTCAGAAAAGGTCAATTATTTTCTATTTGATAAGCTAACTACATATACAAATAGGAGTAAATAATGTACCTACTACTGTACCTTGATAAACTGCTGTAAAACCTCGTAAATGCTGCTCAACACTTCTGGAACGAACACTGAAATTGAGTTATGAGGAACTCTAAACAGGTAGGCCAAAGACTTGTAACTGTCTCCAGTTGCTAGATAACGTAAAGTTATTTCTAGTTTTGTTTTACTTGGAATAGCCTGACGGAATTTGGTGTCTTTTTTCTGGATAAGCGGAGCGACTAACTCTAATAGCTCTTTAAATTTTGGAACTGACATTCTTAAAATGTTTGCATAAGATGACGGATCTTCCAATTCTAGTTCCTTAAAAAGTCTTGCTGATGCCCCCAGATCGTTTCTTCTTAATATCCAGGATCTAACCCACCATCGCCTTTTCTTCCGTTTCAACATCTGTTCACACAACTCTTTTATTCCAATATTTAACACACGTCTCAGAACTTCACGACTCACACCAATAGATGACATGATGCACACAACACACTACCACACGATGTTTTCAAGTCACCAACATCAACTGTACTAGCGGCTAGTACACAAAAATACTAGTACACAATACAATGTGAACCCCTCAGATCCGCTGGCTGATGGCGATATTTACCAGCGGCTGGTTAGTAGCGGCTGCTAAAGAGCCTAGTCTGACCGCGGCTTTAGTCCACGTTATTACACGGTTATGTAGCGTGTGAATATTCCGTCTGTGAATTTTATGTGTATTTATTATTAAAAAATAAACATGTCAAGTAAGGAAAGTGGAATAGATATCTTGTGTTGATACAGATACTACTAATCGTTTTTACAATGGATATAAGACTTATTTTGTAGTTATGCGTCATTAACTACATTCCAATTTTATATTATGGTAAATGGTTAGATTATTCGGCATTATGCAGTGAGTATGAAATGAATAGCGAACGCGAAGTGAGTTTTGAAAGTCGAAGACCGTGCTCCAAGCACAAGTAACCAGAGAACCAATAAAACTTTAAAGTAGGGTAAAACCTTGAATCACTGTGCTATGATGGGACATGGTCCAGAAAATATGAACACCCGTAAATCCAGAAGTAACAAAAGCTAAGAAGAGAAAGACTAATAAGGATGCACGGAAAACAAAGATCAAGAGTAAGGAGTTGTTTTCTTAAAAGCACCAAGGAATACCAATAACAAACTGTCGTTGTACATGCTTATTAAAATTAGAAGAGGAACAACAAAAT